CTTAAGAAACAAGCATTCTTATGGGGGAGGTGACACAAACTAATATTAGCATATCCATAATATAGGCAAAGTGTATACAGGATAATTTGGGAAGGGAGGGCAGTAGTGGCTGGTGGAGGGGGACAGAATCCATACAAAGCTTTTGTCTCCCATCCCAACCTCCCTAACCTTCACAAACTGATCCATGGCCCCAGAAGAGCCTCAACCATGACCTCCCTGCATGACCTCCAACCCCAGTAAAGATCTTCCTCTAAAATCTTGGAGTCTATTCTGGGAAGGGTCTCACTTAAGAGAAGCATCCTATTGGTCAGCTAACTTTGTAGTCCTTGGTCCACATTGTCAGGTATGGTATGGTATAGTAGGGATGCCTTTGTGTTTGGGGTAGACCAGATGCTGCGGAAATCTCTTCCAACCCTCAAATCCTGGGATTGTGTGATTCCTCATCTCCAGTCCTTGGGAGATCAAGCTACCTCCTCTCCCCATCCAGGAGAGCTCTCACCTCCATCATCCTCTGCCCTCTCTAACCCCCATCCCCTACTCACCATTTCTATTACTACAGCCCCTAATCTAATGCACAATGGCCAAGCTGTAGGTAACTTTTCCCATTGCACAAATAAGGAAATTGAAATGGAGTAAGAGGTAGGACAAGTCATGGATTCCTGGCTGCCTAGACCCACCCTGAGGAAGAGAAAGATGGGTACTAGCCATCTGGGATTTGCCTGTCTCCCCCACCACCTCCACTTCCACTTTTGGGGGTGGAGAGCCTGTGGGTGTAGGGATAGAAAGGAGAAAACCCTGATGATAAGGGTTCCATGACTCACCAATGGAAAACCTGGGAGTCCCTGGCTGGGGTAGGTCTGGTCTATGCCCCTGCCCCTTTCCCATTCTTCTCCCCTCCCCCTCAACATCTCCACTCCATCCCCGGGTACTGATTTGCTGCAAAGGGATTTATAATAAGTAGAAACGCAGGACTTGACCTGATCTTGGGAGGCCAGTCATCCAGGGCCACCTAAGATGGGGCCTAGTAGAAGTAGGACAGAGAATGAGGGGCTCTGAATCCTTTCCTGTGCCCTCTTGTGCCCTCTTTTCCCGAAAAAGAAAAAACTGCATACCCATAGTGACCAGGAAAGTGTTTATAATCTTGTGGCTTAGACTCCTAGGGGATAGATTTGCATGTTTTCCATCTCACTTTAAGTGTGTTACCATGGAACTTGGAAAATAAACAGTTGGCTCAGAAAGTTACCCCAAATTGCTGAGTGGGTTGATCTGGGGCAACAGTGTTTCCCCCAAACTTGTGGGCAGAGAGGCCATCAAGCAGAAGGACAGGCTAGAAAAACAGTGGTTCTGAGGCAAAGGAAAAGCAGCTTTAGCTTCAGGATGCTATGGAGGAGTGAGATGTGGAGGACACAGGGATTGTGGGGTGGGAATTAAAATGGGTAGGGAAGGTTGAGGGGATAGGCCTTGGGAAGAATATGGTGTGACTGATAAAATTATCATCCCTCTTTCTCTCTCATCAGACAGGCATTTGTGGCCTAGTATAGAGTGCTGGTCTTGAAAGTCACATGATTTGTACAAATCCCATTTTCAGATACCTACCAGCTGCATAGCTATAGATCTGTCACTTGACTGCTCTAAGCCTCAGTTTTCCTATCTGTAAAATGGGGATAATAATAACACCTCACTGGAATGTTAGGAAGATTGAATATGAACTATTACTACTGTCCTCAGTAAAATACCTGTCTACCGCTTCCTCTATCTTAACAGGTCCCCAAGATCCTAGAGGCGGCCACATGATGCAGCAAGATGGCGCAGTGGATGTCATCCCTGACTTGGAATCAGTACGACTCGAGTTCAAATCCTGTTCTAACTCTTTTTATCTCCAGCAAATCATTTGACTTCTCATTTTCCTCATCTATTCAAAGGAACTAGTAATAGGGGCAGCTAGGTGGTGCAGTGGATAGAGCACTGGCCCTGGAGTAAGGAGAACCTGAGTTTAAATCCGGCCTCAGACACACAACACTTACTAGCTGTGTGACTCTGGGCAAGTCACTTAACCCCATTGCCTAGCCAAAAAAAAAAAAGGAGCTAGTAGTAGCATCTACTGCATAGGGTTGTTAGGGATAAGGAGCAGACCTATGATTTCATTGGTATAGGACAGCAGTGTCACACTCAAATAGAAATGGAAGCCACTAATCTATATATGAGGATCCCTGTGGGCTACATGTTGACTTAGTTTTAATTTTTAGTATTTTAAGTATTTAGTATTTTTTAGTATTATTATCTATTTCATTACATCTCTATTTTGTTAAATATTTCCAAATTGCAATTTAATATTTTATTTCCCAATAACATTTAATGGTTAAATACTCTCCAGTTCCACTGGGGAGTGTTTGGGCTGCAAGTGACCAGCATGTTTGACAATTCTTGTCTAGGGAATTCCCGTTTAAGGAAACTCTCTTTACTAATGTTGGTCAGCACCTTCTTTTCCATTTAAGAGTCCTAGAGAGTCGTCTCCAGTAGTGGGAGTTTTAGTGACTGCCCAGATCACACTGCCAGGGTGTGGTGGGCGAGGAGTTGAATCCTGGTCTATCTCCCCGATTTTGATGCCAGCTCTCTTTCCACCCCACCAATGGAATGGATAGAGAGCCTCTACATCGGCCTCTCGCCGTGCCATTGTGAGGGTCAGATGAGTAATCTATATAAAGTGCTTTACAAACTTCAAAGCAATATATGAATGTTTGTCATTGTCGTTATTGTTACCATTAGCAGCAGCATCAACCCTCCTTGGAGGCAGAAAGACCACTGTCCAAGTCTGGCATCTGACATAGCTGCCATATAACCATTCAACCACTTGGTGTCCCAGGGCCATTCTAATAAAGACCATCATTTTCAGGCTTTAAGACTATAGGTTTCCCTTTTATTAAGGGAGTTGCCATCTGGGGAGTTCCCTATACTGATTAAGTCATAGGGCCAGACCAAAATGTGGGGGGAAGTATTCTAAATCCTTTATAAGACCTAAAATGGTAAAGAAATATTAGTTGTTTTTATCACTGCGATTTCCCCTGCCCAGGTGCTACAAGACATTCCTACATACAGCCAAGTGGCAAACCCTGCTGGGAATGGGCTTGTTAGCACTCCCCTTCCTGGGGACCTTCTAACTCTCACCAGAGCCTCAATTTCCATGGGGCTTTCAGGGGCTTCTGGGGGCACCACCAAAAATTCTGCAGGGAGATGGACAGAGATTCAGAGAAAACAGAATCTTATTAATGTCCTTGCCCCACCCCACACCATCCAATCAGAATCTTAAGGCCAGTATCCAGAATCAAGCCACTAAAAGTAGAAGAGGTTTGCCCAACCCAG